ACACACACACACACACACACCACACACCGGAAACAGCCTGTACTTGCTACTATGGACATATCAGGAAGGAAAAAGAGTTGAGCAGAAACCCAGGGTGGAGGGAAGACTGGATGAAAAATAATTCTAGGAATCAGCACGGAAAGCCAACATGGAGAAGCGGTCTCACCTCCCACTGGCCAGGCTCCGGGGTCTCAATGACATGTTGAAACCGTTTTGTGGCCAGCATGGTCCCACGCTGTGGATACACTGTTCTGCCTGCCTCTTCAGCCGCACAAACCCCTCTGGTCACAGTGACTCTGCTTCCAGTTGGCAGGGCCTTATCTGAGCCACAGTGATGATTAACCCAAGCACCCTGGGCTCTCAGGGCACTACCCCCCGTACCACCGCCTGCACCACCCTTTCCTGGTCACTAGGCCCCCAGCCCTCTGGTAACCTCAGGGAAACTCCTCTTTGCATTCACCCTTACTTCCCAGCCTCTGCTTTGGCCCCTGAAGAGGAAGACCTGAGGCTCGTGACTCTTGCCCTACAGGGACAATGCCCTCTTCTCCGGAGAACCTGGAGCCTGGGAGTGCAGGACACCCAGAGCAGTGAATCCCTGGGCAGGTGTCCTCTGAGGCCAGAGATCAGTGTGGCCAGGTCAGCAGAAGTCAGAGGACCTGGCCCATGATTTGATCACATGCTCCACAGGCAAAGTCCCACTGGTCCCATTTTACCCTCTCCTCTCGAAAAGGAAGGCAGCAGAAGCTTCTGAGTCCCAAGTGTGCACACACTGTACTGAATATTACAGCTGGAAAAATGCCACAGAGACAGAAATACTGCATGGAGAATTAGAAACCAAAGGATCTGCCCTAAAAGCAATGTTAGCCAGCATCTATTTACACTGAACAACACACTTTTCACAGACAGTATCAAGGGATACACCAACACGAAGATGTTGGTCAATATTGACACCTTCATTTTTCAGATGATGAAACAGGCTCAGAGTAGTTGAGCTGGTTGCTTAAGATCACACAGCTGGACAAATTGGGACTCACACCCAGGTTCTCACTCCAGATTTCAAGCTCAACCAAAGCATGAATTAATGTAAGGGCTTACATGTTTATTGAACAAAGGAAGTAACCAGCAAATTGGTGCAAATTTACAGTCATCATCCATTCACACAGTGTTGTGAGATTTATAAAGATCTCTCCCCAGCATTATTTGAGCCTCACAACAACCCTGTGAGGTCTCACTGCTTTACAGGTGGGAAACCTGCGGCACAGATAAACCAGTTTCTCCAAAACCACACCGTGAGTGGCAGAGCTTTAGAAAAACATAAACAGAAACAAAAAAAAGACGAAAAGAAAGGAATAACAATTTTTTTAAAAAAGCCATAGGTCCCTGAGCTTTGATCCTCCCTAGAAGCCCAACGCTCTTAACAATCTCTGTATCTGCAGGTTTTAACTAGACACATAAGAGACGCTCAATAAATATTTGCTGAATAAATGAAAGAATGAATGAGAAAGCGAACGGAATGAAATCAGATTATGAATGGGAAAGAGA